CGTGAACCGCAGTGGTATTTTACACTTACTAGAACAGTAGTACTGTACAATACATTCTCCTACTGGCCTATAAGCAATTGCCCTCGTATCATGGAAATCAGATACTTGGATAACACAGGCGTCTTATTGATTTACTGGGCATTAGGCAAACCTTCCGGCTATGTACACTGCATTGCCTAAGAATATATGACGACTAGCCCGATTTCCGTGCCAACGTATTCCATCCTATGTACTGCTCTACATATCTGCCACTGGCGTATACCTTATGTTATCTATCCATGTCAGTATCTCTCTCCGACACCAAGAAACGAAGACTGTGATTGTTAGGTGTCGCTCGTTTAGAATAGTGTGATAGCACACATAAAAGCAATCTCTTGCGTCATTTTGTTTTACGGCTGATGACACAATCTATTCTTATGCACATGTAGGTATGCAAAACCGATGACTTCGATATTTTTATACGTATGCACTTATGGTCGTTATGACTCGTTGGGGTTGCTGTTGATATGCTCTATCAACTATACCCTACTTCATTCCTGCGCATATGTACAGCACATATAAACGTTTATTGATATTTATCTTTACCCACCACCATATCACAGAGAGGAAGACCGTGTGGCTATTCACGAAGCCATGGAGCAACAGACTATCTCCATTGCCAAAGCAGGCATCACAACCATCCTCAACACTCGTACCAGCGTGTTAGCCGCTGCCAACTCGACATTCGGACGTTGGGATGACAGCAAGGATACGGAGAGTAATATTGACTTCCAGGTATGGCTGAAATTTACATGCTAGGATGATAAGTTTTGACTACGTAGCTAAGGTTTTTAGATTGATACACTTTGGTGGCTGTAATATTGATCCCAAGTATACAGATATATGCCCACAATGAATATGGCGTGGATGACAACGCATTCGTAAACACAATCAACTGTAGCTACCACAGAAAGATAAATGTACGCGCATATGCTTTTTTCCAGTCGCTCACCAATTCCCATTGGTCTTTGATTGCCCACAGATTGATATTGCTTCATATACACATGTCTGATGAAAGTGTCGTTTGCGACACTCGTATATTATATATATAGATTCATATAGATTTGATGCACGCACAGTATATATATACATATATATATATATATATATATATATATTATTATA